TGTTCTGGGTTTACTTTTTCAATTCTAATTAGCATAAAAAAACACGCCTATAAAGTCTCTGCTTTTCAGTCTAGAGCTCCAGCTTATCATTCCTCATCCAACTAACAATGGAATCATCATTCTTGTTGCCTTCCTCTTCTGTATAATACTCTAGGTTTGCCCTGAGAAGAGCACTGTCCAGCTTCAACATGACCTAATAATAATAATAATCCTTGCATTTGATCTAGCGCCTTATCGCATCTTTGAGATGTCTCAACGCGCTTCACACAATACACTGTAAAGTGAATTGACTGTATATTTTGTGGGCGAAACTCAGCAGCCAATTGCGCACAGCAGTGTCCCACAAACAGTCGGAGATTGAGTGACCAAATTGTTTTTTTTTTAAGGGATTATTACATTTATTTAGAGCTACAAGTTGGAGCCCCTTTAACTAAAGGTCAAGGTACATTCAAAAATATAGTGCTTCCCAATTCCATCATTACACATAGACCATCACACATTAAGTGAGTACTATAGAGGGAGGACGTCTCAAGTCATTTACTTCTGGACTCTGAGGATCTGCACTGTGAACGGGCAATACCGCCCTTGATCCTGTTTGCTTTGCTTATTGGTACCTCACACCATTTCAAGGTGGTGAGCAATGCATTCAATATTTTGAAAAAACATTGATTTTTTTTCTCTTTGCACCCAACATAGTGCATTTCTGATGCATGTTTAGTAAATTACATGCATTGTGGTGCTCGCTGTTTTATGAGCCTGCTTTGTACTAAAATCCGAACCTCAAAGTAGCATCTCACCTGTCCACCGCACCCTCATTGTCAATTGGGTGCTGGGATGTCTCATTGTTGATCAGTCTGCGGTAAACTACGTGCCCAGCATTGGTTGCATAGTGAACCAGTTAGGACAGTTTGGCCTAACTGGTCCACGAAGGCATTTATACTCCACACAAGCCTCCAACTTTTGCCTCTCCTATATACCTCTTATTCACTTCTCGTTCATGTATGCCTCACGGTCTCTCTGAAATTCACCGATGCTTTCAGGTTCGGGCAATGAATTCTGCATCCTGCCATCCCACCGCCTGAAGATCCTCCTAAGCACCCCATTTGATCTACCGCAGACTATCTTACATTCATACCCTCATGTTTTGGACTCACCAACAAGTGAAAACAGCTCATTAATATTCACCCGATCAAATCCTTTCATAATTTAGTTTGCAGTGGAGACACATGGAAGTCAGTTGAAATAACTGCACTCCTTTCTCAAAATTGATTTTTCTAAGCAACATAGGGTATGTTTAAGGATTTGGCCAACGCACAAGAATTTCCCAACAGTCTAGTACAGAAATGGGTCTACATGTCATCTGTGGACCGGTTCATTGAAGACCAACACCAGATGATTGAGTGTCACAGCGAGAGCGGGAACCTATCCTGCCCAGCTCAACTGGATGAATGTGTTTCCTTGTCTACCGGTTGTGAGGGGATTAATAAAATGGATTTGGACAGCTTCACCCAGGACCTAGCGGCTGAGGATTCATGGCTTTTTCGTTTTTTTTTAGTCCCAATGAGTCTCTCTGCCTCATCCCCCTCTCTCCCCATTTTTAAAGCTTGCCATAAGATGTACTTTTTCGACTGCTCTTTCTCCCCACCCTCCTTAGACCACCACTGCACCCGCTCAGCCCCCCCTCCCGCCCCCACTCCAACTTGGTCACCGAGTCAGCAGTGTGAAGCACTGTGAGAGGTCCTTGCGATGTGAAGGACACTATATAAATATAATGGTTGCTGTTGTTTCCTCACTGGATGCACACTCCTCTGTAAAGTTTATTCACAAGCTCAGAAGAGTGGTTTGGATGAAGAAAGCTCTTCAGCCCATTTGGTGTCATCCCTCCAGAATATCCATCCATCAAGGAGGTTTCTTAAATGAGACCAAAAGCTCCCTGTAAGCGCACAATACAATGCATTCACTGGAGTTGTATAGAGCATATCTGGGTCCAAGGATGTTTAAAAGATGTTTAAAAGGGAGTGTTGTAAATTATTGCTGTTGATTCCTTGCTGGATGTACACGCTTTTGTAAACGGTCACCTACAAAATACGCTGCCCTTCCTGGCTCGGAGTCAGGCTCCGTCACTGTTAGGCCTTTTGAGACCCTACCTTGTGTGGAGGGTGCTATATAAGTGCAAGTTGTTGTTGTTGTTGAGGAACATTGTATTGCACAAAATTTCTCCTGCGTTCACCTACAAATGCACAGTCACTACACTTTGCAGTATATTTTGTGAAGAGCTTTGAGATGTTTTGACAAAGCCATAAAGCTCTACATAAATTGCTAGGTTTATCATTATACAGTTAAAAAGAGTTGGGGAAAAAGGGTTATAAAGGAGAAAAGGTGGGAAAATAACAGTAAAAGATCTGCCAAGGTTTAATAAATTGGCAGAATAGACTTGAGGGGCTGAATGCCTCCAAATGCCTGGCACTAGCTTCCACAGTAGACAACACACTGATAATGGGTCACATCAGGATCCAGGGTTCAAAAGTGCTCCAAGTCTGCCAACACAGGAGACTCTGTAATAGATATTTAAGATTCCAGTTTTTTTATATACCTATAAAAAAAAGCACGAAGAATGAGTTAAGAGTTAGTGTTGGATACTTTAGGCTTACCTTGGCAACTGGGCGAGACTCTGGCCAACGTAACTAGTTCTCTGAGGGAAAGAAATGCCAACTAAGTGGAGGATGCTGGCCCTTTGGATGGAATTCTATAATAATAATAATCCTTGCCTTTGATATAGTGCACTATCACATCTTCGAGACATGTCAAGTGATATCTGTCAAATGCATTCTGAATTCTGATCAGTATTGATATCACCCTTTTTGCTCCCCTTGAAGAACATTAAAAGAACAGCAAAGATCACCTAATTGAAGAATTAAGTCCTTCTCGTTTTATTTCATGCTTTCTGTAATGTAAGGAAATGTAGATCATCAGTTTTTGATCAAGCAAATAATAAAGATGCCTTAAGTGTAGTACATCTGCTGAGATAAATGAAATCAGATGACAGATGGAAAATGTAGCCTTATAACAAAATATTCCTGGCATTTGATATAGCGACCTTCACATCAAGAGGATGTGCTTCACAGGATTTTAATGTAAAATGCAGTAACTGGGTATTTTGTAGGCAAATGCAGCAGCCACTATGTGCACAGTCTTGTCCTACAAATAGCCAGGAAGTGACTGACCAATTTATCTTGGGGATTGTTGGATCCCTTCTCTTTTCAAGTAGTAGGTAGACAGGAACTCGGTTTAACTCCTGGACATAGGCCTCCAACAAGGCAGCTTTCCCCAATGGCCCTTAATGATTTTTAGGAGTTTGACCCCAATAAAACTGCTAGAACACAGTGATATTTTGTATCTTCTATATATTTATACATTATATGTTCTCTATAGACATTCGCTTCAACCCAGCACAGACACGATGGGCCAAATGGCCTTCTTCTGCACTGTTAAGTTCAATGATTCTATGGCTGTTTGTAGCGCATTGTACTATGAGAATTAGCTGCCCCAGTGCACAATCACTACACAGTAAATCCTGGGAAGGGCTTTGAGACATTTCAACAACCTGATACAGCACTAAATCATTATTATTTTTATAAAATACTGTAGCATATAATAAATTGTGCCTTCTACATAGATTGCAATAAAGGGGAAAGATTACTCATGCAGTGACTATTTATAATACTTTTCGGCACTGCATAGTCATGATCTTAGCATTTCAGCACATACTGACTCGCAGACACTTGCACTGAAAGGTGATCGTGATAAAGGCTGACTCAAGCACCACTACGGATAAAGGTTTGCTTTCTACAGGCTCCTCTTATTCTGTTCCACAACAAGTCGTCCATCAGAACCAGCAGAAAATTTCTCCAGATTTTTGATGATGAAAACCATCTGGATATTTTCAAAACTAATAAAAGTGGAGATTCCAAAAAAAACTAGAATTAATATTCAATCCAAAAAATAATAACAATAATAATTCTTGCATTTGATATAGTGCCTTATCACGTCTTCGAGACGTCTAAAAGCACTTCATAGAATATACTGCAAAGTGAATTGACTGCATTTTTTGTGGGCGAAATATGGTACTGTTCAAAAAAGAAGGTGGGTTTCTCCCAGTGTCCTGTCCGACAATCCCCCAGGTAAAGTTAATTTTTCACTTCACTTCATGGCTGTTTGTGGGGCATTGGTCTGCGCAGATTGGCTGCACGTTTGCCTACAAAATACACAGTCGCTACACTTTACAGCATATGCTATGAAGTGCTTTGAGTCGTCCTCCCATGTAAGTGGTTTGTTTCATTGGAACATCGCAAGAAATTGCTGTTCTGGCGGCGAGAAACCTAAACTGCTGTGCGCAATTGGCTGCCACGTTTCGCCCACAAAATATACACTTTGCAGCATATCCTGTGAAGCGCTTTGAGTCATCTCCAAGACGTGATAAGGCGCTATATCAAATGCAAGGATTGTCATGATTAGAAATGCCCGTTAGTTAATGCAGCCATAGGTTAATTAATGCATGTTCCAGTTAAAACTCCGCCGTTCCCATCGATTCTTATTCCGAAATCGTGGCCGGCTTGATGCTGCCTCCTCCTTTTGCTGTTGTTTTTTTGGAAATACTTCCTTCGCATTTATTTTATTTCCATTCAATAGAATGTCGTTTTCTTTCCAACCAGTTCTACTTATGCAAACAGAGAAAAAAACACACACACACACACATACACACACACACACACACATACACACACACACAAGCAAAACTCACAGCTGCTTCCTGAAGCCAGAGCTGTCAAAAAAAAAAGTAGTGGGGGCTGCTTTGAATTGGTTGCAGTGTGCAGGAGGGAGGGGAGAGAGAGAGAGAGAGAAAAAAAAAAGCAGTCTGTGCGAATAACAGTGCTTCTGGAATAACTCAAGTTGCCTTCTCTTGCATTGCTTTAATCTCTCCCCCCACCCCACCCCAAAGAAAAAATAGCAGAGGTTATCATCGACCACTGTGCCTGTCAGACTGCCTTCTTGACTGCTCACCTCCTGTTGGTGAACAGCTCCTCCCATTCACACATATAAGCCAACACAGGGCTTTGCTTGGCTGGGGCTGATCAGAGAACATTTTTTCCCCAGTCGGCTGCTGTGTTGAGGGCCAGTGAACATCTTTCCTCGCATCACGCATAGCCCAAGGTAAGAGAAGTTCTGCTAAAGCCACCAAAAAAAAAAAAAACAACAAAAAAAAACATCCCCAACTGCTTTTCCAAGCTGCTTTTTTTTAAGGCAGGGGGGACAGCCAGTCACCAAAACCCCCACACACCTGGTTACACACACACACTACACACACACACACACAGATGCACACACACACACAGATGCACACACACACACACACACAGATGCACACACACACACACACACACACACAGAAACAGACCTCATTTGCAAAAGGCATCTTGTGCTGACATTAACCTGATCTGATTTTTGCTGAGTTGCTGTTGTCTGCATCTTACCATCACACACCACCATCCATCCTCCCCCACCCCCCCCCAAAAAAAAAATTATATATATATATATATATATGTATATATATATATATAGGTGGGTGACTTTGTGCACAGGTTAGAGCTTTTTCTGGGGGTGTTCTATATTTTGCAGCTCTGCTTTTTCCTCTCTGTCTTTAGCTGTAAAGATTTCACACCCCAAAGAACAGGAGGGGAGGTCCTGCGTGCGGTGTGTGTGTGTTGGTGTGTGTGTGTGTGTGTCGGATCGGTTTGTTTCTTGTCTTAAACGAAGGTAAAAGTGGTGTCATTTCAACTGAGCTCAGGCTCTGCATCTGTCAGATTGTTGCACACACACACACACACACACAGAGATACCCACACAGACCGACAGACAGAGACACACAGACACAGACACAGGCACACATGGACACACACACACACACACACACACACACAGACAGACAGACGTACAGATAGACAGACAGACAGACAGACAGACAGAGACACGCACAGACACACACACAGACAGACAGAGATACACATAGTCACACACACAGACAGACAGAGATACACATAGTCACACACACAGACAGACAGAGACACACATAGTCACACACACAGACAGACAGACAGAGAGACACATAGACAGACAGAGACACACATAGACACACAGACAGACACACAGACAGAAACAGACACAGACACACACCCAGACAGACAGACAGACAGACAGACAGAGACAGACGCACGACAGAGATCTCCTTGAGATCTGGGAAACGCGTTGAATGATTCCAGTTCAGAGATGGGGGGAGAGAAGTGCGGTATAAAGAGTTGGGAACCTCTTGGTTTCACGTCCACGTGAAAGCCTTTGTGCTGCAGCCAAACCACAAGGCAGATAGTGGGCAAAAACCGTGCAGCGCGTCTGTCTGCCTTGTCTTCACTATGGTTTTTGCAATGTTTTTTTTTGCCGTGTATCCTGCATTTGTGCAACAGTGTGTTTTTAGTCGGTCCTGTGCCCTCCGATCCAGATGTTTGCATGTGTTATCATCTGCTGCGCAGGGAGGAAGGTTGTCCCTGACAGTGTCTTATCGGCTCTGACTGGTGCACAAACTCAACACAACCCCAGAAACCAGGCACTTTCTTCCCCCCCCCCCACACTGAGCAGCAATAGAATTGCACAGCACACATCGTGTCTCTTTGAAAAGAGCTATCCAAATTCAATCCCTCTTCCCCCCCCCCCACACACACACCCACTGGCTCTCTCCCCATAGCCCTGCGAACTTGTCCTCCGCAAACTTGACCTGGACACGAGCGAGGTCCAGCAACCTTGGACTTTTCGATTTAGTCTGGGAGAACCTTCTCCTTTCTCTTCCCCACCCCACTCCCCCCCCCCCCCCCCTCTCAACGCGCACTTCCCAGCCCCTTCCCTCCCTTTGCTGCCTCTTGATAAGCGTTTCAACAAAAAGCCCTTTATGAAGGTGCAGAATTTGAAACTTTGGTGTGGTCTCTCCTGAGCTGTACTTCTGGGGATGGATGGATGGATGGGTGGGTGGGTGGGTGGGTGGGGGGTTGGCGGGGGAAAGAGTCAATTTCCTCAGGAATTTTCTGACTAAGCCATAGCATCTGCAGTGTGTGAACTCATACTCACCAGCAGCTCGCAGTGACAAGGTGAAAGCTATAAAGTAGAGTTGAATTGCCAGACTTTTTTTCACATGTTGTCGTGAGTTATCGATGGAACAGGATTCTCGCGAAGGATTTATTCCCGCTCTGGTGAAAAATCCTATTTCATGGCTTTTTCACAAAGAACCTTTAAAGTATATTCGTTTGCGGACTCCTGTAGCGTTAATGGTTAGAACACTCGCCTCGCAAATGAGAGGACCTGGGTTTGATTCCCGGGCAGGGCGAAACCTTAGGTAAGTTTTCTCCAGACTGTTCACCGAGCAGTAAGTAGGAACCCGGTTGTTAGTCGATTGGCGGATCGCTTTTCCAGGGGTAATAATCCCTTCAAAAAATCAATAGTAATAATAATTATTATTTGGTCACTCAATCTACGACTATTTGTGGGACATTGCTGTGTGAAATTGGCTACCATGTTTCGCCCACAAAATACACGGTCAATTCACATTACAGTAAATTTTGTGAAGCGCTTTAAGACGTCTCAAAGAAGTAATAAGGTGCTATATCAAATGCAAGGATTATTATTATTACTACTATTAATACTTTTAGTTACCCACTCCCGCTTCCCACCTCGCTCCATAACTAAGCCGTTAGATCTTATCTTCACATCCTCTGCTACGCTGCCTCTTTCAGCCAAGTTGAGAACGCTCTGTACTGCAGGCTCCGCTATGGTCACAATCAATCCCTCTCTGGGACAGATACTGGGCTTCAGCTTCAACAAGGTGGGCTTGGTCCCAGCAGTATCTGTCTCCTTTCCCAACCTCCGATGGCCAGAGCTACTGTGAAAGTGCTCCCTCTGGTGACCAGGTCGGTAGTCGCATAAATTCCCCCATCAGATCCACCTTTCCTTTTCTTAAGAACATAAGAATTTGCTGGGTGAAAGAAGACCAGGATCCAACTGGTTCGCCTTCCACCATCCTGGCAGTCACTTAATAATAATAATAATCCTTGCATTTGATACAGAGCATTTCATGTCTTCTAGACGTCTCAAAGCGCTTCACAGAATATGCCTAAGTGAATTGACCAAATTTTTGTGAACGAAACATCGCAGCCAATTGCGCACAGCAGTGTCCCACAAACAGTCATGGATTGAATATAATCAATTTATTATTGTTTTGTTTTGGAGGGTTTATTATTAGGTGTGTGGAGTAAGGAAACTTGCCCAAGGTTTCGCCCTCTGCCTGGAATTGAACTCAGGTCTCTCACTTGCAAAGCGAGTGCTCTAACCACTGAGCTACAGGACTCCACTTGACAATGTTGTGTCTCAAACTATACACTGTATCCCGAGATATTAATTTCCTCTGAAATTCTCCAGCGGAAAAATTGAAACCAGAGGCTTCATCGGAAAGAGAAATCCGCATTTAATCTCTCCCCCCATCCCCCCACACCCGCATTGCGTGTAATTTGCAATAGTTGCAAAAGGGATGGAACAAGCTGCTCGCGATTCCCAGACTCCATGCAACGTTCAAATGCTACCAACCCGCCTGCTCCCTCTGCTCAACGGGCACCAGCCTGCTTCACGTACCCTGTCCCACCATCAGCGGTCTGGCTTTCAGCCTATCTGCCCCTACCCTTTGGAATTCCATCCTGTAATCTCTTCGACTCGCCCCTTTCTTTGCCTCCTTCATGGTCTGTGTCAAGAACTTCCCCTTTGACCATGCTTTCGGCCAACTTACCCTGCCTCCCCCCCAACCCCACCCCCTATCCCCAGCTCGAGTGCAAACCCTGGACTGTCCAGCGCCTTGGGATATCCTCCCGATGTGCAAAATGCTATATAAATGTAAAATTTATTTGGATAGTATTGTAATGTTGGCAGAAAATACTAACTGCCCTTGTTGAAACTGCCAAAGTGCCGAGACAGTCAATTCCATTCCTTTCAATAACTTGCCTCTGTGATAGTAACTGATTTATTTTTGTTAACAATGACCCCTTTGAAAAGTAGCTAACAATACCATACAATTTTTACAATTTTCCCTTTTGTGTAGCCTTGGGAGGAAGTCTCAAAATGCTTAAATGTCATGTCCGACACAATCACATTATCTCAAGAAGGTGACGTTGTAATCAAGTTATGACTATTTTGTTGTTTAAAACAATCTTTTTATTTATGGCAGGAAACCTGTGTGTAGAACGCCTGTTTAAGTTAGTGTATTGTGCGGTTGATTTGAACTTGTCAGACAATATTCAAATAAATGGTTTGATTTTGGTGAAATGACTATAAATACTAAACAAACAAGGTGTTTGCTCCTCAATGATCCTTTTAAAAATGTCACAGCTGTGAGGATTTTAGAAATATATTTGTATATAACAAATCACAGGATCACTGTGGTATATATTGGTAAATGTTGGCTTTTTTTAAAACCTCCGGAATTTTACCTTCACACTCAATCTTGAATGTGTAAAGATGGGATGAACATTCCCCTGTGCAATAACTTGGTGACACATGTATATTATACAATGCCTATTATGTTGCTTTTTCGTGTGAAAGAATGTCCCAAAGCAATAGGGAGCGGAGCAATGATCACCAAGCAAGAGATAAGTGGAATCACATAGAATCACACAGCACGGAAACAGGGCATTCTGGCTAAATAGTCCAGGCCAGTCTATATTCCTGATCCCCTCTCCTGTGCACCACTATATCCTTCTCCCTTGTGTATGTTAAGTTTAGTTTCCTTGATACCCTTTTGCTTCGACCACAGCTTCCAAGAGTTGAGTTCCACATTCTGACTTTTAGTTCTGCTGCGTTCTGTCATATTTAAATGTCTACTATTTTGGACTCATCTGTAAGTGAAAACAGCCTATCCTGTTTTATCTCAAATCGTAAACACTCATATCAGGTCCCCTTTCAATCATTTCAAGATGAATGAATGAATGAATGAATGAGTGAATGAATACAGAGGTCAAAGAGATAGGTATTTAGGAAGAGGGAGAAAGGTGGTGAGCCAAAGTGGTTGGGGAAAAAAATTCCCAAGGACAAAGGAAAGGTGGCTGATGTCTGTCTTTTTCCAGAAATAC